TCTGTGTCTGTGTCTGTGTCTGTGTCTGTGTCTGTGTCTGTGTCTGTTTGTGGCTAGCTGTAGCTGGCTCTGGCTCTGGCTACTCCTATTGCCATGTATGTGCCTATGTTTCCCTGACGTTTAACTGTCCCTAGCAAAAGGCTTTGGTCTGTATTTATTAATCAGCACCACATAAGGAATTGGAGTGAGGGACACTTTATAAAAATCTTTAAGAGTTTTACAAGGTATTAAGTTATTTGCTTCAACTGACCCCAAAGCATGCAATACTGCAAGTATGCCTCTATTAAATAAGATCTTATGCTGCTTCTAACACTTATTTCAGATACTTGTTGTATAAGGTTGGTTTTGACCTGTTTGTTGCTTTCAACAAATAATTGTCTTAACACACATGTATTGCTCTCTGGACCAGGAACGTAACTTAAGGTTAAAGCTGTACATTAGCGTAAGTTGTAAAAGCAGATTATATGGGAAATCCAAGGTTAATAAGATAAGCTTGGTTGTTAAGCTGTCCTCTAAAAGACAAGCTAAACAAAGGCTAAGTGTACAGCAGAGTATCAGGTTAGACTTAAGGAACCTCAGATTGTCTTCTTAGCTTGGCTATAAGGTCAGTAAAAAGTTCCAGTCTCTTAGAATTTAAGAGATCTTTTCATAAAATTGTGTCACTACAGATATATAGAGAAAGATAGAGAGATAGCAGTAGATAGATGGATGGATGGATAGATAGATAGATAGATGATAGATAGATAGATAGATAGATGATAGATAGATAGATGATAGATAGATGATAGATAGATAGATAGATAGATAGATGATAGATAGATAGATAGATAGATAGATAGGTAGATAGGTAGATAGGTAGATATAGATGTATGCTAAAAATTGCTACTCTTTAAAGAGTTCCTGAAAGCTTTTGCATACATTGTACTTAGTCATTACTAGCCTAGGAGGTGTGTTCTATCACTGTTACTTTTTACAGATGAGGAAGCCGAGATACAGAGAGTATAACAAATACGTTCAAGGTCAAGGGACACCAAACCAAACAAAAGGCCAAGACCCAGGCTCTTTTAACTATATAATTCTGGCCTTAACTCATTGACCAAGTGACGTCCTACGTTTTTGTGTCCTATACCAGCCTATGTGGTAGTCCTGCTGAAAGCTCAGTGGTGTCTTCATGTGTCAGGACAGGAGGCTGGCAAAGGTTGAAGTCACACTAATGGTCACCTAGCTACTGAGTGGCCAAGATTGGATTTGAGTGAAAGCTATATAGGGTCTTACGTGTCCCAGTGAGTCTGCACTGAAGGAGGTGAAGCCTGGGGATTTTTTTTCTAATAAGTCTCCTGAAGACTTTGAAAACCTACCTACAGAGAGGTCCCACAAATCCATAACTGTCACTGCACTATGGCGTATCCAGTGTCCTTTGGGTGTAACTGAACAGAGAGCATTGAAACACTACTGTCTGGCTCGAGCACTTAGGACTTGACCTTATTCAGCATAACTAATGGTACCTGAAGTCACTTAGAGAAGCCTTGATTGACTGCTGTTGTCTCTTGGTAGAGTTTAGAAGAATTTCTTGTAATTTTTGGAGTCTGCAAAGCTTTATGAGTGGTGAAATGTTTTATATCTACATCATCCAAAATAATAGTGAATGTCTAGGGCTAGAGAGATGGCTCAGTGGTTAAGAGTGCCGACTGCTCTTCCAGAGGTCCTGAGTTCAATTCCCAGCAACCACATAGTGGTTCACAACCATCTGTAATGGGATCCGATACCCTCTTCTGGTGTGTCTGAAGACAGCAACAGTGTACTC